CTCTCTCCACACACACACAAAAAAAAAAAAAACATACATGCATGCAAGGGGGAGGAGTGTCTGGGGGGTGCAGGGGGGGAGTGCAGCACTGCTCACAGCCGTGGTGGGTGACAGCACAGCAACATTTACGGCTGCAAGATAGGGATTGCCAGGCATGCGAAAGTGTTTCCAGCGGCATTAGGTGGAGGTACCATGCCTCCCATGTTGTGTGGCCCCTGTAGAACCCTCCCAAGTCGGCCGTAACCTGGATAGTTCGTGTGTCAGACAGCTCAGATCGGCGGCCGATCACCAAAAGATAAGATGGGCTCACGATCTGGGCAGCCATCCATGCAAACGGCCCACGTCGCAGTCCAATCTTATTTTTCGGTGATTGGCCACAAACCTGCACTGTTGGCTCGCAAGAACAGCAAATGGCCCAGATGGGGCCCTTAAGACATTTAGGGAGTTGTATAGTCTTGCAGGCAGCTGCTTTCAGGCATTACCTTCCCATTTTTCGTTCTTTTCGCCAACCCTCCTGCTACTGCAGTCGGGGCTCCCCCAGATGATCTAGGGCGTGTAGCTCGAGCCCGTCTGCCACTCCGTCTCCCTCCCGCCTTGGCATTCAAATCTTGTTCCCCTCGCTTCAATGCTCCTGCTCCTTCCTGCCAGGAATATCAACAGACCAGGCAATTGCCCTGAGGAAACTGAAGAACAAGCCATGCTCTTTGGAAGAACAAATCGGGAGTTAAAAACAAAAGCATGGGCTGCACTCTAAGAACGGGTAAGGCAGGTCGCCTCAAGAGCATGGGCAGAGCACCCAAGAATTTGAATAAGAACTACATATTGCAAGGAATATGAGTGAGAGCGATAGACAGAAATCCAAGTTGCAAAATCACGAAGAAGCTCAGGTAGTCATGAACCAAGCAGAGAGTGCAATGCACCAAGATACCGTCCAAATAAGAGAAATGCGATGAACTCAAATGTCAACGTCGCCACTCCCTGGTTGCAAGAACACTGTATGCAATGCCGCGCTTACTGTCTGGCGCCCAGCGCCCAGCCTATCCTACTCGGCCTATCTAGCCTATCTACGTTCTTGCAACTGGATCACTCTGAAGTCGAAGACCAATGTACGTGACGTGCGGACCACCAGCATACACCAGGTAAGTTCTCTCTCCTCCCCTCATCACTCCTCGTCTTCCAACAGCATGCGCCTCCTACCCAAAGACCACCTTCGCAATCACCTGCCCTGTGCCCCAGCATACACCAGGTAAGTTCTCTCTCCTCTCCTCATCACTCCTCGTCTTCCCACAGCATGCGCCTCCTACCCGAAGACCACCTTCGCAATCACCTGCCCTGCGCCCCAGCTGCCCGGCTATGGCTGCTGTGTGTCCGCTGCCTCAGCAGCGCCCCTCTCACCACTGCGCCTGTGTGCGCCTCCGACCAGCAGCGCCCATGCAGACACTAGTGTCGCAACGCAGCAGCGTGTCCTCATTACCTGCCTAGGCCTGAAAATCACTGCCAGGGGCTCACACTTTCCTTTATGGAAAGTGTGTCTCTGCTGGCTGTCCTGGCCAGGTGAAAGTGTGTCGGTGCTGGCTGTCCTGGCCAGGCATGTGGGGGCCCTGTAGCTTCAGTTGGGCCCCAAGTGTCTGCGCCCAGGCCCAGTTTCCGAAACTGGTCTGGGCCTCAAGCAGTTAGGCACATTCTGGCAGCCACCCAGCCTCCAAGTGTTTGCAGCATTCTCATTGGCTCGCGGCACATGTGTGACAACAATGCTGCTTCCTCATTGGCCCATAATCAGTCCGTGATTTGTCGGCCTCACACAGCGTGTGCCCAGGGCGCAACCGCCTGAGCCCTAGGCTCAACTGTACAATGCAGCCCCTTTGTTTTTGGAAAGAGCCTGGAGGCTCATGTTGTGCTGTAACCAACTGGCGTGCTGCAACTGTCTGAGTACCCACATATGGAAAAGTTGTCGAGAACAGGCCTCACGTGGATATTCAGGCACGAGGCTTGCTGGGGGCCACAGCCCAGAACACTTGTATGTCTGACAAGGGCTCTGCGAAGCTCATTCCTTGCAATATGTGTTTCTTCATTTATCGCCAAGAAAACACTCAAACCAGTAACATTTCCTTGCCTTTGTCTGTCACTTGACAGTTCATGCTTATCAATGTGGGCACCCTAGCATTAGCGAGCCTGACGTTCATGTGCGACTTCAGGATCATGATGAGGCCCAGAGCCTGCAAACGGGTGGCCATGGCCATGCCCGATCGCACCCAGCCATAATTGATGGATGGGGGCAGGGATGGCTAGAGCGAAGTTGCACCGGGCTGGATGTGGTGGGGCGCCAAGAAGACAGGTTCACATCAGGTTGGCGGCAGTTCACTTGAAGTAAAAACGGGACAGTTATGGGTGACTAATAGAAAAACACAAAAAAGAGCAGCCGGGTTTGGGCGGGTCGACATCTGGCCGGGTCAAACACCCAAAAAATATGCACAGGGGCATGCTAGTATTCTCTGTAGTATTTGGATTTGAATGGTTGCCCTCAGAAACAAAATAGGGGGCCATGCCACCAAAAATGATGGGGGGTGGCCCGGGGCCCCCTATCAACCTCCACCCTTTTGTTAGGCAACTGGCTATCCTACCCAAAAATCAACAATTCCTTGGAGTTAGGCAGTTCTAAGCCACCTTTTTGAGTCGTCGTCGCCATGCTCGCATCTTTTTTTTTCTTGTTTTTTTTGTTTAACATACACACTCTTGCCCCATCTGTTCTGGGGGCCTCCAATCCCGTTGCGTATTACCAGCAAGCAAGTTTGATAAGAAGTCAGACAGTTTAGATGAGGGGAAAAAGAAGGGGAACAGGGGA